CAATCCGAAGAGGATTGTTGACCCTGGAAATCCACAAACTACACGATCTTCCGTAAATGGAGTGCGAGAGTCTCTTTCAGAATCCTGCACAGCCCAATACTCATCGGGATCTGAGATGTCTTACGGGAACCCTGCTCTGAACTACCCGGGGCCACGACATCCGGGCATTCTCCAGAGACTTAAGCTGCCTGTCATCTCGGAATTAGGGTGCTCAGAGGGTTCAAGGTTCGAGCATCATGCCGGGCTTTCTTGGTGCGACACTTCCATGGAAACGAACAACCGAAACAGGTCCTTGCCAGAGACTCAGGCTATCTCTATGATAGTGCAGAGTGATGTCCAGGACCAGTGACAAGGTTCCGCACATGGGTGTGCTGAACCAGGGTTCAGCATTTCTAAAAGACGAGATTCAGGAATCTGGTGTTATCTCAGCACCCCATGCAAAGCTCGCGAGTCTTTACATCGGAAGCTTATGCTTGAAGCTCCCGGACAGGATATAGGACCCTTTCCGGTCCACATTCAAAAACGGCCCTCAGGAAAGAAACATCACGTATGAGGGTAGTCAACGGTATTATGGCCCCGCAGCTACTACGAATGATCAATGCATACATACACCTTTATCGCAGGATTGGCTGACGAGGAGCCTGGCCAACAGTACAGACCCTAGCAAAGACTAGGCTCCACATCAGAAGGGGTGAAGCTTAGAGTTTCGGGGCTGGGGAAACAACAGGAAGAAGGGTTTCCAAAGCTTCGCTTGTCTTTTGCCTGAAGGGTTCGAGCTTTGGGGATCAGGGTGGCCTTGTTCAAACTCAGACTGCACGACAGTCACACAAGGGAGGTACGATGTACCCTCGAGAACATTTGCGCATGCGGTGAATGGATTGGGAGTCGGCTCTGCTTTTTGCCATCATTCGGAGGGTTCAGTTCAGGATCCGATATATTTGTCTTCGAATCTGACAGTACAGACTTGAGCTTTACAAGCCACCACGCACGCTAAGAACCGCATACCATCGCACAATCGAGGCTTAACCGAAGCCTAGCTTGCCCGTGCATGCCCCATGCAACACTAGGTGAAATCCCTACATGCTCAAACCGCAGCCGACTGGTTGCACCAACAGAAGCGATGCGACGAAGGAATTGTAGCTCAGGCACGATGCCAACTTCTTCTTGCCCGCAGTCTTCCTGACAAGGTCGGATATATGCTGATCCAATCCGGCTGATAAACAGTTAAACAGAGGACCGCGGGCTTTGACTTCTGAGGCTTGGGTGGGTCTCCTCTTTGCCTGGGTGTCGGCACGATCCCTGGTCTTCCACGGGCAAGAGCAGACAACTCCCGTGAATCCCCTGGCCTCCCCGTAGTCGCTGCCGCCTTCTCGTTGCTGGGGGCAAGGGCTTCCTTCGATATGGACACTTCAGCTGCTCGAGCTTGGCGTGCAGGGGCCAACCACTACCACTCTCCCGGGCACAAAATGTCACCAGTGTTGAGGGCCACGGAGCTTCACACAATAGTTACTAGTAGCAAGTAGTACATAATAATAGTTCGTAGCAGTTCCTAGCAGTTCCTGGCAGTTCCTAGTAGTTAGTAGTTAGTAGTTAGTCGTTAGTCGTTAGTAGTTAGTAGTTAGTAGTTAGTAGTTAGTAGTTAGTAGTTAGTAGTTAGTAGTTAGTAGTTAGTAGTTAGCAGTTAGTAGGTAGTAGTTAGTAGTCAGTAGTCAGTAGTCA